CAAGTGTCGATGAATCATGTGAGGCGCTGAAATTGTTTACGATTACTGATGTCTGGTTGGGCCGTTGCAGTATTAATTGTGTAATTGGAGACGACAGTAGACATTTGATTGCAATTATAATTAATAATTTGCAGAACATTCTTCTCCAGAATTTGGGTAACTTAGTAAATAAACTCATTGCCAAAATTATTTCTAAATATTGCTTTAAGAAACATTTCACATTTATAAAATAATTATATTAATGTAGTAAATACACATCGCAATTGTTTTCTTCATGGGGTCTAGCTTATTTGATAAGCCCTAAGTGTTGGACACAATCGACAATCCTTAATGAGGTCATCGAATTGCATTGAACGATCTAGAGTGCGTCTCAGTGAAAATGTCAATCACAAAAAATAGAAGAAACACTCTAAAAATAAAAAGTGCCGCCGTACTTGTGCCATTTCCCACTCTACAATGTTTCACATTTAAACTAATGACTCACTTCATCTGCTTTCAGTTTACACTAGCGACTAACGGAGGATCTACAGGAAAAAATGGGTAAAACTCAGAGCAAGCGTTCAATCGACATCACCACCGATCCCAAGAAGGTCGGAGAGGGCGATGAGGTCGCCGGCAAGGTGGAGAAAATCGATGTGGACCAGAAGACGGACGCGCCGGCTGTGAATGGAGATGCTGCCACGCCCAAAGAGGGCGGTGATGAAGCGGCGGCGGTAGAGGTAAGCAAATCATATTTTCAAATGTGTACGGGTCATGACTGATGTATCATTTGCCTTGATAGAAAAAGGAAACTGAGGAACATTCTGAAAATGACAAAGATCTGACCACCGAAAAGAATGCAGTCGCTGAGGGTGGCGATGCGGCCGCTGAAACGGCAAAGGGCGAGGAGGGATCGCCCAAGGAGGCTGCTGCAGGTGAGGATATCACTCCGCTGGCAGACGAAAGCATCAAGTCCAAGTCCAAGAAGGACAAGGTCAAGAAGAAGTGGTCCTTCCGAAGCATCTCCTTTGGCAAGAAGGACAAACAGAAACCGGCCAAGTCGGAGGAGGCTACGTCCCCCACCTCTGGCACAACGTCGCCCACGACGGCCGAGGCAGAGGCTGCTCCATCTGCAGATGCGGCTCCCGCAGAACCATCGGTCGTTACAAATGGCGAGCCTGAAAAGCCAGCTGAGGTAAGTCGACAGTCTATGTAGTGCAAGAGGAATTTATTTAACATATCTTAATATTATCAGACGGCCACTGCCACCAGCGAGCCGGCGTCCAAGGATGAGAAGCCCGCCGAGAACGGATCAGCGACCGAACAGGAGAAACAGGCCAACGGAGAAGCCGAAAAGGAGGCGCCAGCCCCTTCCACAGTTGAGGAAGCGGCGAAGCCCAAGCCCGCCGAGGAACCAGCCACAGCCACTGCCACCGAGTCGAACACCACTGCCACCGAAGAAGTACCCGTGAAAGAGAGCCAGCCAGAGCCTAAAGTGGTCACCAACGGACATGGGGACGGCGAGGCGCTGACCAACGGATCAAGCAACGGACTGGCCGAGTCCCCAGTGACCGAGACAGCACCTGTCGCTGACAACATTCCGAGCAACGTTGATGACGAGCAGCCTCACCAGAACGGCACCAATGGCACCACCACGCCCCCACCCACTCCTGTGGCCACGGAGATCGAGAAAGGACAGCAAATTGAGGTAAACAACCACACAAGAACTGACAGCACCACACAACACAACAGCAAAAACCACACTGTAAATACAAGTACAACAACAACAAAAACAACTGAAATCACAGAGAACACTGCACTAAAAACTATAAGTACAGAAACAGAAAGAACTTGCACAAGCACTGTGACCGAGACCGTTGTAGCAGCCGCAGAGTTAGTTCAGACCCAAACAATCCTAACCAAAACAACCAACACGATCCTTCCCACCTCCCACACGCAGGCCAGCAGTGAAGTGATTGAAACAGTAACCCCCAGCCAAGCGGAAGAGGAAGTTGTGGCAGCAATCATCAAGGCGGTTAGCAGCGAACTTGAAGCCGAAACGGAGATTGAGTCGGAGGCCGAGGGATTCGTGGTTGTTGCTTCTGTGTCCACCGAAGTCGAAGTCCCCGTTTCTATTTCCCCCGTTGAACCTGTGGCTGAGGTGTCCCAAGTTGAAACTGAACCGGTGGTCGAAATTCCCGAAGTTGAAGCTAAGTCCGTAGCCGAAGTGTATAAAGCTGAATCTGAATTCGTACCAGAAGTTTCTGAAGTGAAAACTGAACAGGTGGTCGAAGTTCCCGAAGTTGAATCCGAATCCGTTACAGTGGAGACGAGAAGCAGCAGTCCGCCACCTCCATTGCCCAAATCCCCGCCTCCGTCTCGTGTCTCCGCATTTGTGCTGTCCGAGGATGTTATCGAGGAGCAGCTTACCCCGAAGGTCCCTGAAGTAAACGAAATAAAGCCCGATGAGATCGAGCAGCAGGCTATCAGTATGGTGGCTGAAATCACCGAACAGGCAGCAGAAATCGTCACCGAAAAAGAGAAACAAGAGGAGGAGGCCAAGGCGGATTTTGTTCCCGAAACAGTTAAGGTTGAAGTGGAGGAATCCATCTCCACTGTTGAAGATAAGGAAGATTTACCAGTTCACAACGATGAAGTAGCGGCTCCCTCTCCTACTGCTGATGAGGTGCAGAAACTTATTGAGGATGAAGCTACACCCGACAAAGAAGATTTTTTCCCAGTTCCAGCTTCCATTGATCCTGCCAACTTAAGCGATGATGTTGCTGTTACAGAATCTGTAGATTTTGAAGTCCAGAAAGAATCGGTTACCATTAGCTTCAACGTTGCTGAGTCCTCTTCAGTCTCCGACGACCAGGCGGTAATCGAAAATCAGGATGAAATCCTCCAAGAAGAGCTGAAAGCTGTTGAGGAAACCATCGAACAAGAGACATCAGACCAGCAAGTTATATCCGAGGATGCGCAAAGCGATAACGATAAGGAGAATGAAATTGACCTGGTTGAAAACATCATCAGCGATCTGGATGCCCCGATTACCAAAGCAGGTGGCGATATGCTGGTAGAGTTGGATGTAAGACCCACGGAACAGGAGGGCGAGAGCAACAACAAGGTGAATAACAACTGGCAGTGAGTCTTAAACTGCAAACTCAACTGTTCAAAACACATCGACTTCAACACACCATATTACCATTCTTGCATCTGCCGGTCCATTTGGTGGGCATGGAGTTATGGGCGTGCTTCTTCTGCTTTCTCCACTCTGTGTGTGTTTCTCATTCAAATGGCATCAGATATTCTGCTGCTGGTAGCGCGCTTGTTGCCGTAGTTAATACGTAGTTCGTTAGTGTTTGGTACATTGATTGATGTTGATTGAATTGCTCGGGGATTGCATGATTTTTTGGTGATAAAAAGCGAATGAAGTACGTAATACTAAACTGAGGATAGCGACTGCATTGTATTAACCGCAAGAAACCAAGCCCATAAACACAACTTAAACGCATTCATCCTAATCCTCCACACATGCACACCAAAATACAAATTTAGAAAACAGAAAATTACTCCCAACCCATCTACCGCTCTGTCCTAACTCAATATCTGTTTGGCTGTCGTAACTCTTGGCTATCACTAAAACCAAAGACCATAAATACACAACTGTACCTTAATGTTGAAAACACACACAAATCGCTTATTATTACATTCATTATTTTGTATACTATTTCGTTTTGTTCTTGCGCCGACGAATGCCTTGTCATTGTCGTGAACTTTCTTCCCCTTATTGTTGTTGTTGTGCTTTCAGTTTTTAATCTTTTTTTGCGACACAAAAAGCAAAATCCTTGACCAGATAAACAACTAATATTTTCCATTGTTTTTTCACAGGTGGATCTCGCCAAGGATCTGAAGGAGAAGAATGCCGCCGCGGCAGACGTTACAACACAGGAACAACTGCCCGTTACATGCGAATAATCCTACTCATAATTATTATATATAATATTACATATTATTAAAAACAAAACAACAAACGATACAAGCAACAAAAAAAGAACGCAACGTAAAACAACAAACAATTACAAGATAAACGAGATAAAAACAAAACAAAAAACAAGTAAAAATACATTTTTAAACATTTACATATTTTAAATAATTTTTGTACGAACTTCATATCCCTAATCCAAGATATACGCAAACAAAAAAGTCCGAGTTACACGTGACACCACTGCAACCACACCCCACTCAAACACCCACGCGCAGGCATCAATAGTTTTTTTATTGGTGCCTCTGAATTCCAGATTGGGATAACCCCCCAAAACACATCCATCACCCATCAAGCACACATCCACCACACATGCGCATACATACCATTCTCATATTGATGATCTTGATAGAGAAAGAATCAACAAATCATATACGATGAAAAGATGAAAGTGAGGAGAATTTTTTGAATAATTTCTACTATACATTTAACTGTAAGTTCGAAGAAATTTGTAAAGAATTTTTGGACGAAATATTGGATAAAATATATATTATAAAATATAAAACCCAAAAGCGTGCTTCACTCATATCCGCCGGCTGAAAAAAAAGAGAGATACGAAATACGATGAACCGCAGAAAGGAAACACTGTTTTGAATGTTTTAGTTCTGTTTCGAGTCGAGTCCCAATCCTCTTCTTTAATACACTACCAAAATAGTTTTTCTTTACAATATACACGATGTAACAGAGTGTTACAAAAATAATCACTTGTCCTGGTATTTGGAGTAAGCGCTAAGATTATGTTCTAAGTACGTTCTTAATATTTCGTAATGGTTAATTTAACGTAACAAAATGTTACTACAAACAAACTACAAAAGCTCCAACGAAAGCTTCAAAAGCGAAACAAACGATACTAAGAAATGATAAAGAAAAGCAAATACTAACTGTGCGTCTTTTGCAACTAAATAGAAAATCCTACTAAGTACACTAAATGTATTCAATAAATTAAAGCGTTAATTTTACGCTGCGCAACGTAAAGAAATATGGTCAACAAGAATTTGCCAATCAACAAAGAGGCTTATATAGGTGAAACCAAATTGTTTCCAAATCAAATCTAAATCCAGAGGAGCACCTCTCCTCTTCGAAGGTCCCTCAGCATCTGACAAAAAAGCGCTGCTTGTGCAGGTGTAGTTGCTGCTGCTTTCGGCGATAATCCGGCACGTTGCGGAGCATGAAAACGGCTGCGAAGAGCACGTAGAGCGAGGACAGCATGATGAGTACGGGAAAGGAGAAGACGATGTGTGCCATCCGGACCTTCCGCTGCGCTGTTGGGGGCGAGTAGATGTAATCACCTGCAACGATCAACGAGGTTATATGGTTACCGAGCATTGAGCACTAATAGATAGTTATCGTTAGTTGTGTATCTGTATGCCACAGAAATCCGTTCCAACCGAGACCATACAACATTGGAAGAGACTTCGGTAGCAAGCCTGATTACTTTGCTATGCAAGACCACCTACCATTCCAGCTCTTGTAGGCGCACCTTTCTCCATCGTAGTCGTTTACGCAGAGGCAGGAATGGAAGACTGTGTTGTTTACCATCGGATGCTGGAAGCAGTGGCCACCGTTCAGGCAAAAGCTAGTATTGTAAGCTTCGCTGCAGGGCAGCATCTGAATCTCTGTCTCCTTGTCGTTTGGGCTGGAAGTTGTGGAGCCTGGCGTACTGGACGAGCTTTGGTCAGGTGGCGGTTCTCCGGTGTGCGTAACTGTTTCGGGTGTTGTCACTGTCTCGGAATCGGTGATTGGTGTGCTGCTTTCGCTGCCCAACCAGGTGACAGTACTGGATCCGAGAACAACCCCATCCTGTTCAGGATCCGCAGCATTGAAGTCGTCTGCGTTTGGTAGTTGGCTGCCAGCGTCTGGACTGGTATCCGTATCAGGTTGCAGCTGGTCTGCCTCCTCCTGAGCGGAAGCCTCCAGTTGCTTGCGCTGCAGCTCCAGGCGATTGAGCAACTCAACCGCAGTCTCCTGGATCTGCTGCTGCAGCTCGTGCGCATGCTCGTGCATGTGGCTGTGCTGATGCTGCACAATTTTCAGCGTATGCTCTCGGAGAAGTAAGATCCGGCTCGAACAACAATCTGCAGGATACAGAGGCGTGTGATTACACAAAACGGACATTTCTACTGCATTAAAAAAATGTTCACAGATACAGATTAAACAACACTGTAAAATTTAAGTTGAAGTACAGAAAGCTTTTGCGCCAAATTTTGGAAATGCTGGTAAATAACTAAATGATAAATAATCAAAAAAGCAAAGTTCGGCCAATATGTTTCTTTATAAAATACATTATTTTTATCAAACCCAAAAATATCTTTAAAAGTAATTTACAAATCTATTATCTAAAGTTTACTTTAATCAGATTATACTTTTTTTCCCCCAATCGTCATTTAGGAAAGTTTGAATGAATGAGCATTAAAGATATAACAGAGTCAACCCTGCGTATATTTTATGTTTTGTTTTGGCTGTTTTTCATTTTTTCGACGCTAAATATAGCTATTTTTGTAAGAGAACCTGGCAATACTGGCCGTAGTATTCTAAATATCTAAAAATCAGGTGGGATTATGTACTTACCTGTGACGGCGACAATTGTTGAGAGCACGAAAATTACTTTGAAAATCCGAGTAAATGGGATTTGCATCATTGGAAAACGCTTGATGGCGCTCCGAAAAATATTGGGGGGTGGACCGATTGTCCACCACTAGGAAAACTGAGTCAATGAAGGGGTCTAAACGATCGAGGGATCGAGCGGCGTGCTGGCCGCAAATGCAATTTGGCGTCGCAACAGAAGCTGAAACATACTACACACTTGCATCTCCTTGTGGATTTTACTGCAAAATAAAAATAGAACATTTTAGCGCCTCCACATTTTCTGTCGCACGAACGCACACACACGAAAAAAATACAGCATTTAAAATTGGTGATCCAAAAGCTTTTTATAGATTATGTTAGACGTACTGGAGCTGCTGTATCGCCTGTGGAAGGCTTCGACATTATAATTATTATAATGACTCGTGAATCATTTTATATATCGGGCAAGTAATTAATTAGTTAATCTAAAGAGCAGCAAGCGCGGGAAGCGGGCTCTTGTCTGCTCCACTTTGATTTTAGGTGTTGTTGCGCGCACGTCGGAAAAGAGACTGGGGAAAACAGAGCCAGAGAAACAGATGGACCCCATCCCTACATTGGCATTGGCATGCGCCATGAATGAAATCGATCGGTGAGCGGGGAGAAAGAAGAGAGCGCCTCCAAAGAGAGATGCGATTGCGACCGATAATTGTCAAAGAATCATATGGATATGCTAAGAGCAGCAAGACCGCCCATGAACAGTTATTCAATTCGCTAACGGAAATACTCACTGCATACTTCTGGGGCACGATATACATACGGACAAATGTGAAATTTTAGATTCTCAGTTAGACATAAGCAGGACTTCTTCGAGTTTGTTTAAATAGACAAGTTTCAACTGCGACCACTCATCACTTAACTTTTTCTAAAATATTGTTAGGGTGTTTTGACTCCAACCAATGATACTTAAAAACGCAGTATTCCTTTTTTAGGCATTAATTTAGTTAATTTATTGCTTAGATTTATGCTTATCAACGAGTACAAGACTCTAATTTGATATCAACTAATATCCCAGTAGAATTTGAACTATTACGCGCACTTGATAAAAAATAAATTCAAAACAATGGCAACTGTACATTAGATTTGTGGTTCCAGCGGAGCAACGCCCAAGTGACTGTTTCCCAGGAAATCCAGTTCGGCACACTGACTGATGACGCGGCCGATGTCCTGAGGTTGGAGAAACAACGGAGCATTGGCCGCCGCCGGTGGCAACTGTTCCAAAGTCTCCTGTTGCAGCTTCGCCGCCAAGGAGCGGCGAACCAATCTCTCCACAAAAGTGCACAGCACTTGTCCGAGCATCGAGAGGGCCAGTGGTTGGGAGATGCCAGGCGGAGATTCCTCCGGTTCCAGTGTGATATTAATGTCCTTGCACATTTCCTGGACCAGCTGCAAGGCCGAATCCAAGTGCTTCGGCGGAGGTAGATAAAGTAGTTGACGATTGTTCATCATTTTTAAGTTAGTTTCCTTGGGTGCTTGCGCGTGGGGCTTGTCCACACCCAGAACATCGATGAACTCCTTATCCCGCATCTTTTGATCATTCCCAAGCAGACGTTCGGATTGCTTGGTTATCCAAGCTTCCAGCCGAGTGCCGGAACTGAGACTGCTGTAGGCCGATAGTTGCGGTTGAGGCTCGCCCTTGAGTTGCGCCTGAACCCGCTGAGCCAGTTGCTCCTCGTCGCCCAGTTTTTGTTTTCTCCTCTGCACGCCAGGTAAAACATCTTTGAGAGGTGGCGTATAACCATGAACCCTGGCGAACGCCAATATCTCCCGTAAACTCCAGTAGTGTTCCTTCCCACTATTATTAAGCTGTTGCAGCTTGTGGTGCTGCATCAGACAGCGACGAAGGAGACGTGCCCGCAAGTACTCAAAGCAACGTTGTTTCAGAGCAGTTTGCTTGTGGAACGAGTCGAGGGTTTTACATGTAAAAGGGTACTCCTTCTGCTGATCAATCCCTGTAAGCGGCAGGCGGCGCAGCAGGAACTCCACAGCACTGCGCATGTTTCGGAATTGGGCACTTCTAAAGATAAGCTCCAGCCTTCGGGGTCGCGATTGTAAGTAAGTGTCTACCATTGGAGGCAACAGCATTGGCTTTTCCTCCACCTCGCCGCTCATGTTGGCGTACCCATGATCGTGCTGCATGCATTGCAGCACATGCCATCGCGTTTCTGACGGTGGCTTAAGAAGACTCAATTGTGGTTTCAGCAAAGATTGCTGCTTCGCAGCCTGCTTAAGCTTCCGTTGCAAGGGATCGATAATGTACAGCTTTCCTGCTCTCTGAAACACGACATTCTTCTTGCCCTGGTGATGGCCATTGGGCACAGGCTTTATTGGAGGCCGATCCGGCGAGTATTCCTGCCACGCTCTCTGGGGAGATGCCGGTGGATAGTGCATCACTGGCGAAAACTCCTGCCGCTGCCTTTCTGACAAGGATTCCTGCCTAGGACTTCTTCCGTTTACTGGTAGATAGACCACAGAAGGTTTAGAAGCGCTGACCGGAGCCGCATTTAACCGAAGCTGAGGCGTTGGCCTGGGAGGCGTTGATGGAGTAGGCAGCTGCTTTCTGGGACTGTAGCTTAACTTCAGGGGCTCCGAAAACAGAACCGTTGGTTCAATTTTTTCAATGTCGTCGCTGAGATCAATTTTGTTGATGCCAGCAAACAGATTGTCATCCAGTTCCTCCTTATTTTGAGTGATGGAAATGGTGCGCGGTTTGCAAGACTCTCCAGAAAAAGCGAAAATAGAAGGCTCTAAAAGATGCGGTGCAGCTAAATGCGGATCAGAAACTGCAGTCTGCTGTTCGGGGGTAGGAGGAGGTTTAACACTATTATGTTTCGCTCTTAGCCATATTTCCACAGTAGTCTCTGCACCCATAGTGTGCAGGCCACACATTGTTTTATCCAGCACCACTGTGTGCATCAGTTGCACGGGCTTCTGCTGCAAGTGCTCTTGGAAGAATAACTGGATGCGCATCGGAAACTCGCCCCAACCATGTCGGTTGAGCTGAAAGGGAGGATGGTGCACGTCCACAATGTCGTTTGGTCGGTATGACGGATGTAGATGGAAGCGCACCTATAAAGGCCAAGAACACATTGTATCACTGTGTACTTTTTTTTTGGAAATCACTTACCTTTTTAATGTACTTTTCCAGAGGCTCAGGTAAATCCTTGCCTTGCACATAGACCAACCACTTGTAGGTCAAAGCTTGCCCACCTGTGGCATTCTCTCGAGAGCCGTCGCCAATGTACTTAGAGGTATTTCCCACCACAAAATTGAACTTGTTCTTGTTATTAAGCCGCGAGGCGTTAAGCTCCAATTGTTTTTCATGTGCCTGCCGGCTGGTGCACGGCTGCTCGTCCTCCAACTTAACGGAAATGGGAGGTTCCTGCACTGGCTGATCCTTGGTGTCCTTGGAGTGATCGGTTACGATGCCTTGCTCCTTGATCTTCTGCTGTCGCCTTCGTTCCGCACGACGATGAGCCGGATTCCTTAGTCTTATGGTTTCTTTGGCCAAGGTGGCCGCCGTGCGCTCTGGCAAATGATTCTGGATGGGAACAGGGCGCTTGCCAACGATTTTTTTGATGGCTGGATGCAGTGGCAGCTGCGGTGCGGATATGTCGTCCCCAAAAAGGCTGTCGCCACGGACCTTGGCAACGTCGGCACCAGTGAGGGGGACCTGTTGCTTTCGGTAGTATTCGCTGACCACCTGATAGCGTAGTCTGTCCAACATTTGTCTTCCTTGCAACAGTCGTCGGTCGATCTCGGCCAACTGCTCGACCTTTTGAGTGATTTCGCGCTGGAACTCCAGCCGGAGGAGCTCCCGGATGCGCTGAAATTTGTCAGACGAAGTTGGCATCTCCTCCGCCTCTTCCGTCTTTGCCCGTTTTCCCTGAACGTGCGACTCGGCCACCAGACAGGTTTCTTCCTCATCCTGGCTAGAAACTTCTGTTTGCTGATAATCTGGATCGTGGTACTCGCTGTGCCTGCGTTTTTTTGGCGGCGTCGCCTGTTGCTGGTCCATGTGCGTGGTAGCTGGCTCACGCACAGGACTCGTATCACGCGAGTTCGAAGGGGAACAGCTTTAAGTTGGGCCCGAACCGCTCCGTGCACATTTATGCCGGGGTAATTGGCTGTTATTTATAAAAATGTGTAAACAATTGATGCGAACGAGGCGGCGCAAACAGAATTGAGTGGGGGAGTTGCCACATCGCGGATGTAGATGCGTGCACGCTGGCCTTGTCCAACACTGGCCTGCCAGCTGTTTACTCTTTACGCGGGAAGCATAGACGCCTAAACTCAACGGGAAATCAGCAATAACCACGAAATAAACGCAGATAAGCCAGAGCAAAATGGTCGAACGCATCGAGGATCTTAACCTGCCGAACGCCGTGATTGGCCGGCTCATCAAGGAAGCACTGCCGGAGTCAGCCAGCGTCAGCAAGGAAGCGCGAGCAGCGATCGCCCGAGCGGCATCTGTGTTTGCCATCTTTGTGACATCCTCGTCGACGGCTTTGGCCCACAAGCAGAACCACAAGACCATCACGGCCAAGGATATTCTACAGACCCTCACCGAGCTGGACTTCGAGAGCTTTGTGCCCTCCCTGACGCAGGATCTGGAGGTCTATCGCAAAATGGTCAAGGACAAAAAGGAGAGCAAGGCCAGCAAGAAGGACTCCAGCACCACCGAAAATGCCAACGCCATTGCCACAGCAGCCGCGGAGGTAGCTGCCGAGTGATGACGGATCAATTATCCTTCTTAGTCCTTAAGAACAAAGCTAGTATTAAGCATAAGCAAATAACATTAAATATAAGCAGTATCTAAGTACGTCACTTGTGTTTTCTCGCTTTCTTTACTGCTAAATTATATACGTTGGTCACGATTGCCTCCTTTAGTTTAGGTTTGCAAAATGGCCTTTAAATTATTGCTAATCATTAATAATAATCGTAATCATTTTGCATTAATAATCATTGCTAATAAATAATGCGGAATTTCAATTCAGTTTCATTAATTATTATACAGTTTTATTCATGTTAAAGTTATCAGCAGGTATCAGAATGACATTTAGTTACATATTTCAGGTAATAATAGGTTGTCAAATATCTCCCCTCCCTTTATAAAAAGTGTTACAGTGATCGGATTTAGTTCAAATATGCGCCGTTTTGTTCGATAATCTGTTTCCATCTAGACAGCAACTTCATAATACCTTCCTCGTAGAAGGCCCCCTCCTTATTTGCGAAGAATTCGGACAGCCACTTTTCACAAGCCTCTTTTGAGTTCAATTTTACACCACCAAGGGCATTCGCCATGGACAGGAACAGGTGGTAATCACTTGGCGCTATGTCCGGGCTATATGCTGGATGCGATAAAACCTCCCACCCGAGCTCCCGTTGCTTCTGACGAGTCATCAACGAAGTGTGTGGTCTGGCGTTGTCCTGGTAGAACACTACACCCTTCCTGTTGGCCAATTCTGGACGCTTCTGGTCGATCGCCTGCTTCAAGCGGTCCAGTTGTTCGCAGTAGATGGTAGAATTAAGCGTCTGGCCATATGGGAGCAGCTCATAGTGGATGATTCCCTTCCAATCCCACCAAACACACAGCAAAACCTTCCTGGCCGTCAATCCCGGCTTGGCCACTGTTTGGGACGATTCACCGGCCTTCGACTCCGACCGTTTTCGCTTGATATTGTCGTATGTGATCCATTTTTCGTCGCCAGTCACCATCCGCTTCAAGAATGGGTCGAGTTCGTTCCGTTTCAGCAGCATATCGCAGGCGTTGATTCGGTCCAGAAGGTTTTTTTGCGTCAAATCATGCGGCATCCAAACATCAAGCTTTTTTTTGTATCCAGCCTTATGCAGATGGTTTAAAATGGTTTGGTGACTAACTCCCATCTCCTGGGCGATGTCACGAGATGCCACATGCCGGTCTAACTCGATGTGTTCCATGATTTGATCGGTATTTGTCGTCACAGGTCTTCCGCCGGCTGGCTTATCCATGGTGTCGTTTTCACCGGCTCTGAATCGTCGAAACCATTCCTCCGCGGTTCGAAGTGATAGAGTACCATCCCCCAAAACAACATTAATCTCACGGAACGTTTCTCTAGCGGATTTGCCTTTAAAGAAGGAAAACTTTAAAATAGCGCGAATTTCGGCGTTAGTGAACTCCATGTTTACACGTATATAACTGTTGAACGCAATATCACCACATTCCGTATTCCAGCTACATGCCCACGTGCCTTTTTCAACACTACAAACAGCTGTTTAAAAAAGCGCGTCTGGTCGCAACGAAGAGTTTAGTTATTTATTATATTGCATGTTTTATACAATAAATATTTTAGTATAAAATGGGAGTTACGGGCCTGTGGAAGCTCATTGAGCCGTGCGGCAAGCCAGTGCCCGTAGAGACTTTGGAGGGTAAAATACTCGCCGTGGGTAAGCATCGATTTCGTCGCCTAATGAAATATGTACTTACTGATTTGAGTTGTACATGTATTACATGTATGTTTATTCCGCAGATATATCAATTTGGTTGCATCAGGTTGTAAAAGGCTTTCAGGACAACAAGGGATCGGCCCTGAGTAATGCCCATTTACTGGGTCTGTTCCATCGTCTCTGTAAATTGCTTTACTATCGTGTGCGACCGGTTTTTATTTTCGATGGATGCGTGCCGCAGCTCAAAAAGGACACCATTGTGAGTTATTATAGTGAACTATACCGAGATTGACCTCCCAAATTAAATCCTCTTTATGTCATCTTTCAGGCACGTCGTCAGCAGCAGAGAAATAAGCTCAGCAATGAAGCAGATCGAATTCAGGCTTTGCTCCTTCAATCCCTGGCCAAAGAAAAAGTAGTGCAGCAAGCGCTGGGCAAGAATGCGGAACTACTGCTAAAATCTCCGGTTAAGCGGCCGCCTCCAGCCAAGAAGAACGACGACGATGACTTGTTTAAGCTGCCAGAACTGCCGGCTGCATCGGAGGGGCAAGATAATCAAGGTGAAAACGAACAGGACACCAGTGCCAGTGCTTCAGACAGCTCCTTCGACGAGTCAACCGCTCGACATTCTTACAACTCCAGTTTACAGGCCATCGATGTAAAGAGTCAGCACTTTCGGAATCTGCCAGCCGATGTGCGACACGAGATCCTCACAGACATCAAGGAAACGCGCAAACAGTCATCATGGGGCCGACTGCACGAGTTGCCCGCCCGCAGCGATGACTTCTGCTCCTTTCAGATGAAGCGACTCCTAAAGCGTCGAGCCGTTCAGGAGAGCTTAGAGCAGGCGGAACAGGAGATGGGCGGACATACGCTGACTTATGCAGAGTTGTGCGACTTTTTCAGCGAGGAGGGCATACTCACCCCAACTGCCATTGAACACTGCACCCGACAAATCAGCTCGGATGAGCACACACGGTTCCTGCTGGTCAGGGATCTTAAAAAGAAAGCTATGGAGAGCACCAAGCAGGAGGTTAAAATGGAGATGATTGAAGAGGTACCCGCGAAGGAGGATGAGAAGCCAAGCACTTCCACCAAAAAAGAGCCTGCGGAATGTACAGACCTAGGCACGGAGTTCGATGAGGATTTGGCCAAAGCACTGTCTATGTCCATGGAGGAAACCAAGGTTTACGATGAAAAGGACTACGAGTACGACTCGGACCAAGAGTTGCGCCTCAACCGAGCTCAATCCAAGCAGTTGCGTCATGCAGCCAAAGGACCTGCACGGGCTTATATGATTGAGTACGGCGGAATGAACGAAGAGGAAGTTGGCAACATAATGGAGGCCACTCAGTTTAATGACACTCAAAGCCTTGAGCAGCTGCTAGAGGCCACCACGGTCCAGACCGACATGGCTGACAACTCGATTGAGGAGGCGAAACTTATTTCACAAGCTATTGAAGAGAGCAAACAACTCTCCCAAGCTATTGAGGATAGCAAGAGGAATCTTAACGAGGATAATGTGGAGATTATAGATACTGATACCGACTCAGACTTGGAGGAAGTAGTGGAAACTCAAGAGCTAGGTAAAGGCAAAAAGAACCTTGAGATTTGTGTTGATATCACTAAGAACCAAGTGGACTCCAATGATCTGTTTGCGGATATTTTCGAAGATGGAGAGGCAAATAAAATTGAGAAACATAAAAGCGATGAAGAAGACGACGACTTTATTGAAGTAAAAGACAGTGAAGAACTAAAATTAGACTCTGGAGACGAAGCTAAGCCAATCAATAATACAAGTATAAAAAAAATTAATGAAGTCAAGCCGTTCATTGATGAAATTATCGAAGTGAAAGATAGCCAAGAAACGATTCCAGCAGAAGCTAATCTAAGACCTGATCTAGACTCTATTTTAAATGAACTGAAAAAAGAAACGGATGCAGTTAAAAATATTCAACTAAACTTAATTGAAGATGCAAAACCAAAACCAAAGGTTGAACTCAGTTCTATATTGGATGAGCTAAAAATAAAGCTGGCCGACGTTAAAAACATTAGTCTGGATCACGTGAAATTAGGCAATAGTGGCCCTATCGTACTATCCTCCGACGACGAAAGTGCCTTGAAATCGTCGAAAATAGTTCTGAAGGAAGAGGTAATTGAGTTGTGCGACAGCGACGATAATAAAGACAATCGCATATCTCCATGCAAAACCCCCAGCAAAAACAAGTCCATAAAGGACTTTTTCGAGACCAGTTACGTGGTCAAGCGAACGCCCGACAAATCACCAGCGACAAATGAAACATCGCCTGGAACACCCAAGACCCCGCAGCCTTTTTTCAGGAAGAGAACTCCGAAGTCCGGACGTAAAAGAGCTTGTAATGCCAACGAGGACAGTGATGAGGAGGTTTCGCCCACTACAAGGCCCAGTAAGGCCTCGAAATCGCTCTTCGAGCCAAAAGAGGCGGAAAAAGAAAAGACTGTAGATCCTGAGGTAAGTATTGTACTGATTAATTTGCGAAAGTCTCTAAATATTTTATTTTAATAATTTTGTACCCTTACAGGAGCTTATCAAAGATGCAGCAGAGGCCTTGAAATCACAGAAGACCTCAGAAGAGCTGCAGGAGATGGCTACCAACTTAGCCCAGGAGCGAAAGGAACTGGAAATCGAGCGGAACCGGCAAGACCGAATGGGCATGTCCATCAGCCAGCGCATGAGTATCGATTGTCAGGAGCTGCTACGCCTTTTCGGCATCCCGTACATTGTTGCCCCCATGGAGGCGGAGGCGCAGTGCGCCTTTCTCAACGCCACCGATCTCACCCACGGCACCATTACGGATGACAGTGATATCTGGCTTTTTGGTGGCCGAACTGTCTACAAGAACTTTTTTGCCCAAAACAAGCACGTTCTGGAATTCCGGGCGGAACAGATTGAGCAAACCTTTAACTGCAACAGGGGTAAACTGATCCAGTTGGCCTGTTTGGTGGGCAGTGACTACACTACAGGAATTCATGGCATTGGTGCTGTAACGGCGCTGGAGATATTGGCCTCCTTTTCCGGACAGGATGCGAATGGGTCAGGTGTCTGCAACCAATCGGTGTTACAAACGCTAGTAAGGTTTCGCGACTGGTGGCAAGCACACAAGAGCAGCAATCTTCCACCCGGCAGCTCGGCTCGCCTTTCTCTCCGCAAAAAACTTAAGAACATCGAACTGCACGAGGGTTTTCCCAATGGTGCAGTGGTCGAGGCATATTTAGCGCCCACGATCGACGACAATCGGGATGCATTTAGCTGGGGCACACCGGATGTGGAATCCATACGGGAATTCACGCGGAAATCTTTCGGCTGGACTACTTCAAAAACGGATGACATTCTGATGCCCGTTATGAAAAAAATTAACGAGAAGAAGATACAGGGTTCCATACGCAACTACTTTACGGCAAAGAGTGCTCTGCGAGTTCAACAACCGCACGTCAGCAAACGTGTCCAACTGGCCATTGACAAGATGTCCGGGAAGATCGATGAGACGCCCGAGAAACCGAAGAAGGTGACACGCACAAGACGGGCAAAGGAAGCTAAGCCAATAGATGATGATTTAGCCAACGCGGAAGTCGAGCCGAAAACTGCTCGCCCCAAAAGGGGCAAACGCAAAGCTGCACCTGAATCGGAAGTAGTGGATGGGGAAGTGCCTTCCACATCACAGTCAGCACCGAAGCCTGAAAAGTGTCCTCGAATTCCTAACACCGTTGAGGTTATACCACAGAGGGAAAAGGACCTGGAGCAGATGCGCCTAAACAAGGCCAAGGCAGCGGAGATTCTTAAGAAGTCATCAAAATCCAATAAAAAATAAGTTGCACAAAACTATTCCATACAATGTAGTTAAGTTTGCATCGCTTTTGTACTTAGTGTTGCACAGCAACCTTGGCAATCTACGTCAGTTTTATTATTTTTTTCTTTAGCAGAGCTTGTATATTTACTTTAGTGGAACTTAAAGATGATTTTGAAACGAAATAGTGGTCGATCAGCTTCCTACCGGATATATAACAACTACCTTTTTATGAAGGGTTTTAGGGGGCGAAGGACGAAAGCGACTAAATTGCAACAAATCTTAAACAAACTTATGAGTAAGGCGGGCAATTTGATTAACAGGATCCGGAAGATGTCCATGCATAGAACCCGATCCGTTTTAGCTGAATCCATTAAATTGCTAAGGCGAAGAAGTCGTGAGCTTCAAACAAATTATCTGCAAGGTGAACACAATGAAAGAAGGCTAAAGACACTCTTACGAAAATTATATGATCATAAAACACACAGTTCATTTCTTAAAAACATGTTGAGAAATTTGAAGATTCAAATTAATGAGCATGATTGCAGTAATGTTGGAGAAATTTTAAATTCTCAACTGGAAGTAATGACAAAACTAACCACAGGCAACTTAAAGGAAGCTGAAGAATGTATCAATGTTGCAAGCCACTTACGATATATGAGAAGAAGTAGGTCTAAGAGACGCAAACCAAAAAGTTCTTTGAAAAAATCCAAATGGATGTTCTTAAGCTCACTAAAAATGCAGAATAGTGTCGCAACAACAAAGGAAATGAATGACAATAAAAATGTGTTACAACCAAAAGTAGGGACCTTGTCCACGCTGACAAGTCTTAATGAAAAGCCATGTAAAAAACATATTCATAGACGACGCAGTGTACAGTCAAAACAATTAGACACAAAAAACCTTGATTTTATGAAGGATTCAAGTATAGTTTCTCAAAAAATAACCACTCAAAACTTACCAGCATCCAGGCTAAAGGTTAAGGTTTATCCACGAGAAAAGACCGAAACACCCTACACCGATTTAACACAGCCAGATTTAACAATCGCATTTGGAAATATAGTAGTCGATAAAGAAGAGGATCAGCAGGGAGCCTGGAGAAAGCCCCATTATACCGACTCAAAAATACTCAAAGGTAGAGTCAGAAAGAGGACGAAAAATAAAAGAGACTCGAAGTTGATTAAGGAATTTGCGTTAAGGAATACACTTCCCAATTTGAAAATGCGAAGCCACAGAAGAGTCCGAAAAAACTGTAAAAAGATTGAAGCCGAATCCTTGCAGAAAGTTCAATCGGTACAAAGCGAAAAGGAGAGTCATTCAAAAAATGATCTTACTAAGTTTTCAAAAACTCCAACCGTTAACAAGAGACAGCATTCCTCGACGTACGAAAAATTGAAATTAGCGTACCGAGCGGAAAGTTTACAACCAACGGAAAAAAGGTCAGTTCTTAAAAGAAAGGACACGTCCGATGAAAGCCTAGCCAAGTACGATATGACTGTATCGAAATATTTCGAAATCAAATCACAGTTTAATCCTGTTTTAAGCGCATCTCAGATATCCCAAACAAACTCCTTTTCAGTAGCAAAACCGAAGGCTCATTCCGCGCTTTCGGCAAAACCCTCTTTGCGATCATTGGATGGCGTGTCAAAGGATTTAATACAGCCAGCCATTTCATCAATGGCCACTACTATTATCAATCGTTTATTCGAAGACAAGCCAATAGCTTCTGATACACCAAGATTTCACAAAACAATAGACGCTACAAAAATGTCAGCAAACAGTTTCCTGGGAACGATATCCAAGATGAAGCCCTCTGATCAGATAAATGCGGTGTGGAACGATTTGCAGGGGAAATATAAAGAGTGGTGTTCGAGTGCTAAAACGCCCGAGGATGTTCAGAAATTCAGGGAATTTCTCAAGTGGCGCTATATTCACAATGTCCAAAAGGTCCTACACAATCATGTCAAGCAGTTCAAGATGGACGTCGACGGTGGACGATCAGAAACAGAATCTAGAAAATCTGTAACGTCAAGTAGGGTATTACGCCCCCATCACCAAATACCCACTAACTATGGATCTTTAGGAGTGGCCAAAAGGGCATCTAGCACAGACCTTTCCCAGCTCAGGCAAACGCACGACGCCTTCGTTCGGTCGCAAATGGAGTCGTTGAGGTCTAGGGCTTTCGACAAGGATGTGGGGCAAATGGAGCTCATGATCATGAATAGACAGGTACCCATAAGCGAGGAAGAAGTTGAAATCTTTAGGAAGTATACATGCGACCCTCAGCACTACAACGTACTGATACTAACGTTCGGCAAACCCATTTCGGACGAAAAGTATGAGGAAATGCTGCCAGTTCTGGAGAAAAATTTCCAATTTATAAGCCAACAACTAGTGGTACTTTCCAGGGCAAAGAGGGTTCAGAAAATGAAAGCCAACATCGAAATACAAAGAGCAGAGGAGGAGGTAACATCAAAAGTTTCACGTGAAAGCTACCATACGGATCGTACAGACTTTAGTGAAGCATATCTGCAGAAAAGGAGGGACTTGTGGGCAGCCTACATTGCCAAGCAGCCCAAGACTCCCACTGAGATTCTTTTGGCCCAAGTCCGGTATAAGAAGCGAATGGATCAGCTGGCCAAGAAAAGGGACGATCGCGAGCAACGAAGGCTGCAAGAGCAGCGGTTTCACAAAAGGAGAAGGTCACTTAGTGCCCTATTTAGAGCTCCAAGGCAAACGCACCGCGAGCGACAAGCCATCGAGGATATTAAGGAGAAGCTGGAGGTTGGGAAATCTAGGTGCTCGCTTACATCGTTGTGCCAGTGCAGCAGGTGCGGCGTGTCCTGGACACAGAAGTGCTCCGAAGGCTCCAACGATAGCTTGGCAGGACATATCTGTCAAAACGTAGAAGCATAGGTCTTGGACTTGTACAACTTCCGTGGCAAAATCCTACTTCATGGTGGTACAGAAATCTCCTTCCACCAAATTCTAACCGAAAGCGTGTATGATTGTTAGAAAGAGATTTTTCTACTACCAATGATTGTTATAATGTTGATGTGAGAGGTGATCTTTGGAAATACATATCTGTTGAAGATGAGTACGTCAATACTTATAAGCGATTCAAAGTGTAGGAATAATTTTAAACCATTTCCAAAAGGAACTTTCGATTTCCTAACGTTACATTTATTCAGCGCTTAAAAACTGAAATATTTCAAGGCATAGGCAAAAATCAAGGGGCGACGAAAATTAAAAGCCAGCTTCAGACGCCTTGTTTCTTTTTTTGCTTGCTGAGTCTTTTTGAGTCTGACAGTCACAGACTCTTATCTTATCTGTGTATCCTAACTTGGTTGAGAATAGAGCAAAAGGCCCAGTTCGACGAGGCGGAATGTTTCCAGGCGTGAGTGGTTGCTTGGAAATTTAGTTCATTTACTCCGAGTTCTTTGAAAATCTTAAAAAATATTATGTGACTTCAATAGTAACTAGAGAGAACTCTATGGCGGAGTGCGAGGAAGATATGCAACTTTCTAGCTTTTATAGTTTCCGATATGCGGGATTGAAAATGCTTCATTCTACTTGTAAGATACTTTTCAACGAATCTAGTATGCTGTTTTACTAACGGGTAACCAAGTTGTTATGACTTGAGGTGAATTTGTAGCTGAAATTGATCAATGTCAATAAGCTGAAGTTTTAACACCCACCGGACTGTACATCTCTGAACTTTTGCAATTTAAACGTTTTTTTTTACCATAAGTAGATGTGCTTGCAAAACAAGATCTCAAGAAGCTGAGAGATTAGCGCCGCCAGCCACTCACTGTCTTGCAGGATCAGATCAAACATAATCTCACCATCAGCGCCAAGCAATCTTCACATCCGTGAAGATATGGGCTACAACATCCTCGAAGAACGCCAGACTTACGAGGAGCTCGTGGAGATGGGATGCGCCTGGGTGAGGTTGAGTGCCCTTAACTGCGTTTCCTCTTAACCAATCACCTTTGTGTTGCTCCAGACGCATAATCGCGATTGGCACCAACACTAAATGACGCATACACGCGGCTGCGGAGCGTGCCGCTCGCCGAGAGGAGGATCGGATGCCGGATCGGAAATACGTGGGCACTGGGTGTGTGCTCGGCCAGCAGCAGAAGCAGCCATACTTCAAGGTAGTGCGCCAGTACCTGTGGTGGACACTTCGTCATCGCCATCGATCGATGGGCACTCACTCATGTCACGCCTCATATTTGGATACCATATGGCAATTATATTAACGACTGATATAATTCAGGCGACGGCAGCGATAAGGAAAAGCGTATCACGCACGGGCGTCATAAAACCAGTGATAATGCGCACCATGAACGTCACCATGGAAGCTGACCAGCCGGCAGCCAATATGCAAATGCGAACTACCACTACAGTGAAGCTATTCTAGTTCGCTCCACGAAAGTCTGAAATACAAAAGCTATAAGCACTGCATAAATTAACCTTCTTAGGATAATGAAAACAAGTTTATTTTGGAAATTTTGGCCATAAAATATGCTCTCTCTTAACCAAGCCAAAATAGCAAAATAAAAACTTAGGAAGTGGCAATTGTGAACTATGGGAGTTGGACTGTACGAACGATTAAGCTTGTAAGTGTGGCCGAGCAGCGACTTTGACAATATTTCTGACACTTGGACAGGACTTGGAACATTTAGACTTGGACCCCACTCCGCCAGCCTCCGGCTCCATGGGTATTTATAATTGGCCGCTTCCGCCGATCGCAACTGGTTGCCGCTAATTAGAGTTGATCGGTGGCCATGTCGCCAGCTGCAATTGTTGCACGTTGCACGTTGCAACTTCTGCTGATACACTCAATATGTAAACACACTAACCGCTGTGTTTATTCAATTAAGAAGAGTGCGGGGCAGAGATTTCGCGGGGAGCGAGCAGCAAATTGCCACTGCAATTTCCATTGCAATGTACTTGGCCAAATGGCCAACAACGGCTCATTTGTCTGATGGGTGCTCATTCGTTTGTCCGCAGTTGATAAGCAATTTCAGTGGGATTAGGCCCATCGGGGTAATCTGTGCTCATCCACTCCTGGCATACATGGGTTGTTTATTTATAATAAGCCAGGTTCATGTTTACTGTCCAAACAACTATGTGAAGTACTTGTAGGATGCACTGCGGAAAATGGATTAACATAGGTTTTGGCTTGATTTATTGCACTCTATTGGTACTTCAGCTGCAGGAGTTATTCAAATTTAATAAATCCCATCGCAAGATTGATGATTTCGTAAAGTCATGATATTAACGTGAAATGATAATATTATCATTTAAAATACAGCTTAGGCACCAATAATTCCTCTTTATTTAAATTGAATACTTGGATAGAACTTGGTCCTATCGTTGAAGAGCATGTTAGAAGGAAGTTTCCGGCTCTCTAATGTAAACATGCCAAAAAAAGGGTATCGGATAGTCGAGGAACGTGACTATAGCGTGCGCTCTTGCCACTTTAATGATTTTGAATATCTTCCTAATCAAGTTCTGTTTTTTTGGACATCATACATAATACAAAATTTAATAAACGAGTTTGTATTCACAACAAATGAATGAATTCAACTCAAAACAAGTATCTGCCCAAACTCACTTGACAAGCTCATCATGCCTAAGACAGATTTGGCCATTTGCGTAGCAACAATTGATGGGACTAGCAAATATCCCACTGCTTTCAATGCATAGCTAGGTAGTCCCTCCGGACAGCCTGTCCAGTTGCACAACACGATGCCATGCGACATGCAGTTCCAACTGCAACTTTAGCTCCAGCCAAGCCTGAGAACCAAGTGAACCGAAGCAAACGTGGAAACGTATAGAAAAGCCGGGCGGCGCATTTTCAAAGAGAGGTGTCAAAGTCGTCTCACAATTGCCATAGCCTGGTAGAATCCTCCTGCTGGGATTCCTCACGGCATGTCTTTAGCTGCGAAAGGGGTGGCTCAGTCTGGGTTATTTATGTGACACTTACAATCGTGACAACGCTTGCCAAATACGCCGGGGGAATACATATGCATTCAGATGGAAATATCTGAAGAACAATGCGGCAACATTAGTTAACAGCATCGGAGTAGGAAATAATAGGGAGGAGTGACCCAGGTAACGAGTATTTCCTAATATTCGCATAAATCTGATTCCCTCGGCGACGCCTCCTGGCTAAGCTTAGCTCCAGTTTTATCCGGGCATCTCCAAGATTTATAGATTCCGCACGAGGCCCCGAAGCTCGACTTGTACTTGTACTCATTAATAAGCGTTTAGAGCCAACGCTAATTGCCAACGCCTCCAGCAGCAGGCCACAGCAGGAAGAGGGAAAACCCAGGACGGCAAGTTGGCCAAACAATTGGCTATGTGGGCGAGCAGGACATGTCGGGCCGCTCCATGTTGCATGGCCCTCCCATTGTGAGGTTCCACATGTTGCACGTACCCATCGGAACACCGGGACAAAAGGCCGCGGTCAAGCACTGATTGAAATGCCCACGCCTGCCCACGTCCTGCGGCTCCAGAGGCCTCCTGCCCCGCCTCCTTTGTCCCTATCGTGCTGTACGTGCCGGAAAAATTTAACGCCTAGGTTCCAGGCATGAGTTGTGGCCTCTGCCCGCCAGCGACGCGGAAAGTAATGTTGCATCTAGAACAAGTGGGATAAACGCAACGATGAATCGAACCTGCTGTTACCCTATTGTTGGCCATACCTCTGCGGTACATATGTATGATGAATAAAAATGTTCAAATAGAGCATACAATCCATAAGTCAAAACAATATATTACTAGTTTATTGACGTATAAAAAGCTCTAATTCTAATTATGCTGTTTTCTATATTATTTCAAAATGTGTCACCAATGTGTTCATAATAAAGACTTATTTCAAAACAACTCTGATTGCAATTTGCAATGCCTGCTTATCAGGTGATAAATAAGTAACCCCAACATTTTTGTATACCACATCAGATGCATGAATCACTAGGAAAAATGTTATATATATTAGGTGTCATGATTAATTAATTAAATAAAGATAAACCTCGTTTGTAATGTGTGTCATAGAAAATCTATTGGGTGTTTTTATCACTGCAAAGAAACTCCACCAAAGTGCAAGTATACAGGGTATCCGTCCGTGGTGCACGCAATAATTCTTCTATAAAAAAGCCCCTCCTTCCCCTTGTAAAAAGGGGCGATTTACCATGTTGTTCCACGCTATTGTTGTAATTTTCATGCCTTGAAATGGATTTCGCGCCTGAAATTTGCTGGCCAATTTCCATTACAGTCCCGACTGTCGAAAATTGCCAACCCGCTGGCCATTGTCATAGGCAGAAACTATGACCCACCCCTTTCCCCTCTGATGACCGGTTCGGTTTTTGTGCATCTGCTTTCTTCTGAATATCTATTCCCATAGAGTTTCGACATAAACTTGAAGCCATTGACAGAATCTCTCTCCACGCGGAATCAGAAAAAAAAAACTGAAATTGACAGCAGATGCGGGCAATTGAAAATTGGGGAAATTGGGGAATCGGCTGGGGAGGAATGCAATTATGCGATAAAAGCAAAATAAAAAATTGTGTTAATTGTTGAGGAGGCTCGGATCGAAACTTCGGTACGATCCACTCCGCCAAACGACGATGTCTTGTTTGTCTTTCGATCTTTTACGGCCACATCAATCTTTTCGGGATGTCCGAGTGGCCTGAGTGCTGATAGCCGGAATGGTGTTCACTGTACAGTAATAACAGCAGGCGCATTGAGTGAGTGGCACTTGGCTGTCGCTCCGCCTGATTGAGTGATGCATCTTCCAGTGGCTCCTGGTCAATTAAATGCTTTTAATATGCAAAGCATATGCAAATTGATCCTGAGTGCAAGTCTGGATGAGGGGGCTGCGGGGCGAGGTGCCACAGACTAATTAAAAATCACAAATTGGCCCGCT